ATGAGTATTAGATATACATAATCGTCAAAGAGAGAGTTATATAAGAGATGAGAGAGTGTATGTTTAAAACGTGAGAGAGATAAGAGAGATGAGTATGAGATAAAGGGAAAGAGTTATATAAGAAATGAAAGTTTTAGAGTTGTAAAAAGAAATGAAAGTCCAATTAGAAAGAGAGAGTTATATCGGTTAGTATTAGATAGAGAAATAGAAGTAGATGAGAGATAAGAGTCAATAAAAAAAATTGGCATAAGGACCGTCAGATCAATCAAGCAATTTGAGCTGCGAAAAAGTAAAGACAAAGAAATCTATATAAACTATTAATTACCCGTGCCTAAAGGCATTACGTTATTTGTAAAAAATTATAAATATTTTATCATAAATAAAGACAATGTATAATACAATTTTAATAGTACAACGATTAAATTAATATTGTTCAATATGCATGCAGAACATATATAATCAAACATTTATATAATAAAAGTCACGTTGCAAAGGCCTATCAAAATTCGACTCGACACGATTAATCGATACGAATTAAGCAAGTTTTGGGGAGATCTTACTGGTTTTGGATGGTAAACGGGTTGACCCCGCTAGACACGTTTAATAAAACGGATCATGTTCGAGTGAAATCTGTCAAATCGTTTATCACACATTTACCCGTTTAAATAAAAATAATATAATAATAAATTAATAATTATTTAAAAAAATTAGTCAGAAAAAAATAAAGAAATCAATACAAAAAAATATATAAATTAATAGTTCAAAGACAAAGAGTGAGAGATGGTTGATAAAGGCAAACTAATCCTATAAAAGGCACTAGGGAGGTTTGCCTACTACCTATAAAAGACTACTCTTGCCCTTTTTTTTGGCCTTCAAATTTGATTTTTATGCAAAATTTGGTTAGAAATTCCTCTTTATTGAGGTAAATATAATTGATAGTAAAAAAAGTGGTGTATTAAAATTTATTGATATAATTTTTTTAAATTAAACAATTTGTTGATATAATTTAAAATAAAATAAAATTAAGTGAGTTAAAGGAGTTGTGTTGTATTATCCGTTTATTAAAGTGATCGTGTTCGTGTTGAGATTTTTCACTCATTTATTAAACGTGTCGTGTACAGGTTTACATGTTTTTCACCTATCACCCGTTTAATCCGACACATTTGACATTCACTACTGCAACATATTAAATTTAAAAATTTAATAAAATATAATTATTATTAATCAAACATCCACAATTTTAACATTTTTAATAAATTTTATGTCAATTTTTTTAAAAAGATAACTATTTATTTTTCTGTAGGTTAGGTTTCAACCTAAAGTTCATAATATTATATCTGCACCATTTTTTTCAATATGAATTTGTATAACTTTTGTGAAGAAAATATCCAAAAAATTTCATGTGAATTATCGTAATTGTATAAAAATTTGTTGAGAAATTAAAATTAATTTTCATTTGAGTTCAATTTAAATATTTGTAAAATTCAATCGAATTTAAGTTTTTGTGAGGCTACTCCTACTCCACAAATTTCTATTTCCACCCCATTTAATTTCTCAGTATCAAATTACTAAGTTCATCCCATTTAATAGTTATTATATTATTACATACTAAAAAATAAAATATAACATATATTTGACTGTAGAATTCAATTTAATAATTACATGTATATAATAATTTAATATATATATGACTTTACTTATTCTTATATATATAGAAAATTGTATGTAAGGGTACTACTAATAAATGAGTTCAAAAAAAATTTAAAGTTTTTATAAAAAAGTCTAAAATAAGTTGAAAGTTAAATAAGAGTAAAAAAAACAAAAATTAGATGAAAGAATAGGTGGATATAATTGAATTTATTATAATAATTAGAAATAAAATAAAAAATTAATTTTTTTTCACAAATACTTACATTTATAAATAGTATAAATATAAATTTTGGAATCCTTGGGCGTAGGCTAACTTTTGCCACTAGCTTATAAACAGTCTGACCCAGCATTTTACAGTCCATTTGTCAGGTAAGTAGAGACATGGTCCATTATACTTGGGCTAATGGCCCAGTAAGTAGGCCCGATAGCTTAAAATGTTTGCCAATGGCCCAGTAAGCAGGCCCTACATATCGAAAAAAAAATTTAAATTTTTTTTATGAGTAAATTGTAAAAGGGTACACCAAATTAGACTTATTTGATAAAAAATACACACTAAAAAATGTAGGGTTATTAAGTACTTAATTTTGATACTTATTTATATCCAAGTACATAATTTGAATTTATCTATTTTTATTGTGATATTTTTGCCCTCCATTAATCCATGTGTATTTAATACACCACTTTTCTTTGGAAAAATGGTACATTAAATAATTCCTAGTTTTATGAGAGAACTTTAATACACACACACACACACACATATATATATATATATTGAATTGTAATGCACCTTGATTCATGCATTTTTTTTAGAAGATGGTTTTATTTTCAAATTAATTTAGTATTCGAATAGTGTAATAGTGTAACAATAAAAGTGTAACAGTGTAACAATAAAAGTGTAAGAGTGTAACACTAACAATGTAACAGTATAACAATAATAGTGTAACAATCTATTTACACAAAATATTGTATTATTATATTTTGTCAAATATATAGTTTCATATAATTTCATTAAAAATAGTCTATCTCTATTTTGAATTTGTTACCATATACACAAAATTAGTTAACACTGTTTTGGTTACAGTGTATTTGTTGCACTGTCTTTGTTATAGTGTATTTGTTACATTATTATTGTTATACTATTACATTATTCAGATATTAAATTAATTTAAAAATAAAACTATTTAAAAGAAAAAAAAATGGTTGAATCAAGGTGCATTAAAAATAATTCAAAATTTAAATAAGAGATTTAACAATAAATATATATATATATATATATATATATATATATATATATGTGTGTGTGTGTGTATTAACAAATATACATGAATCAATGTGTATTAAATACGTATTTATATATATTAATAAACACACATGAATCAAGGTGTATTAAAGATAAAAAATTTTGAATTAAATGACCCTAAAATGAGCATTTATGTCTTTTTAGCTCACATTTTATTTTATGTACTTTTTGTCAAATAAGTTTAATAAGGTCTACCAACTTTCAAAAAATCCTTTTTTTATTTATTATATTATATTAAAATTAAACTTTTTAGGCAGGCGGGGCTCTATCTGACCATAATTGTCTATCTAATAATACTGTTAGAAAATTTAATTTAAATTTAATTCTCAATTTATAAAAACATAATAATAGTTAAAATTTATTAAATTTTAATATATTTTGTTCAAATAGTATAAAATTTATCTTAAATTTTTTTCGTTAAAAATATCTTAGTCTCTGATTCCTAATGTCAGATATCTAAACATTTCTCTCATAATTTCACTTTATTGATTTTTATTTTAAATTATGTGATTAAAAAATTATAATTTAAAATATAAATATTATAAAATAAATATTTAATTTTTTATAATATCTTTAAATACTTAATTATTTTGTAGTTATATTATCTTGTATTATATATTACTATTTTATATGAGGAATAATTATTGAAACCACACGTGGAATTAATGTTGCTTGAATATTTTTTCAAAGCCGTTGAAACAAAAGAAGAGAGAAAGAGAGAGAGAGAGAGAAGCAGGGTCTTCGAAAACTAATGAGGAAAATATTGAGACACGTGTCAGATGGAGAGTGGTGGGTAAGTTCTAGAAAGTCGTAGAATGTGAAAGGGAGTCTAAACTCTCCTTCGGTCGTAGGTCGTCCAGGAGAATCTTTGGTGTTCCTATAAGACGCCTCAAAGGTTCTCCTCTTTGGCTTCGTCTTCGACTTCTGGTTGCTTTTTCTCATTGGCAAAGTTTGAACGCTTCCTTAGGCCTTGTCAGGTATGACTTTCTCTGCTACACACATTCGCCATTGTTGAACTATGTTACTGTGGCTCGTCTTTCTCAATTTTTTCTCAATTTTTTTTAGTACTTGTGTGTTTTTAAAACAATTTTGATGCATTAATCTTCGAGAGATCTCAACGGAGACTTCTAGTTTCTGTTTGAAATTCTAGGGCCTCAAATTTATGTGTGGGGTTTGTTTTTCCTTTCGTTTTCTACTTTGTAGGATTTTTTTAATTGATTTTGAAGGAGTTACTGATTCTTCGATCTAATACTTTAACTTCTCTTGAAAGTTTGTGTTTAGGGAGTTTTGCATTCGTGCATTGATAATTTGCGTTCGGCGCGTGTAGGTGTTGTGTCAGAAAGGGACCATTGAATCGGAATCTGAATTGGGTCAGAAAGGGACCATTTAATTAGAATCTGAATTGGATTTTCTGAAATATTTGATTATATTGTGTGAATGTTGTTATGTTTTGATAGCTTTTGCTGGTATTCTGGGGTGATTGTCTCTTTCCTTACCTATAAAAGTTGGTTTGGGATAAATTATCAGGCACTGCTGTTGATTATTGTGACACTAATCTAGATCTGTTCTTACAATTTGGATTTTGAGCATTCCAAACTGCGGTGAGAAGATGATTATTGTGTGAGATTCCTTGGAATTGCTACTGCGGTTGATGATTTTGTTGTCACTGTTTGGTTGTTTGACAAATTGGTAATGCGGTTGATGAGAAGCTTTGTATAATGGACTCCAAACAAGAAACAGCCTTATGGCCTTAATATATTGTCCGCACTCTCTGACAATTACATATTCAAGGCAGTTGTTTGTTTCTTTTTGTTTAAAAAAAAAGGGTGTGTAGAAGAGCATACGGCATTATTTGTTTCAGTACCTGCATTTGGAGGCAATGTGTGTTTTACCATTGTATCTCTGATTCATTTGTCATAGATTTTGCTTATGCTTTCTATCGAAATCATATGATTCTGACTTTTGTAGGTTATCTTTTTCAGCTCCAATAGAAGAGTCTGTAACGCTTTGAATTCTCATCTACTGAAGCTTTTAGATTGAATTGTAGGAGATGGCTGAGGTTTGTAATTCCTCTGCTGTTAGTTTGATTGCTATCATGTGCTTATTTTGTCTTTCCACTCTTGTTTTGTTTTGTGTTCGAAGAATGCATATTTTTTGCACTCATTACTGTCTTGGATGATTGCAGGACGGTTACAAGGTTTCCTTGAATGTGTATGACTTAAGTCAAGGACTAGCTCGTCAACTCTCCACGTCATTTTTGGGAAAAGCAATTGAAGGCATATGGTAAGTTGTTTCTTATCTATTGAGATTTGGATATGGATCTTAGGGAATTATTTTCTCCAGTATCAATATCAAGCTGAAATTGTCATATTCTGATATGAACGACTCCAAATGGTGGAATCTTTTCACAAGTTTGTTTAGATTGGTAGTAAGAACAATGACCTAAGATTGGTAATTAGGTACTGATAAACATCTCTTTGTTGCATAATTTAAATGTGCTTGGAATGTGTTTGGGCAAGTATGCTTTGTTGTGGTAGGTTTCTCTTTCTGGCTTGAGACAATGTTAGAAGCAGAATTTCGCTTCCATGATTTTGAGATTGCTATTACAGAGTCATCCAGCCTCATTGTGTTCTACAAGAGCTGTTCTGAATTGCTACCAGAATATCAAACTTAATGAGGTTATTGACTAGGCTGAGTTTAAAGTTGGTGTAAGATATTTTTCTAGTCTGCTCTGGATAAGTTGGACATGTTTCTTTCAGTTGATGAAAGATAATTTTGGTTATATGATGTTGCTTTTTGCTTTGCTTGTTTTGGATTCAATGCTTTGAGGTTTTTGTTATTTATTTTCATGACAGGCATACAGGAGTAGTTGTATATGACAAGGAGTACTATTTTGGGGGTGGTATACAACATTCTCTGGTCGGATCGACACCATATGGGACCCCAATTCGAACGGTGGATCTTGGGGTCACGCATGTGCCCAAGGATGTCTTTGAAATGTATTTGCAAGAGATTGGTCCTCGATACACAGCAGAAACGTACAGTCTGCTCACTCATAACTGTAATAATTTTAGTAATGAGGTAGCTCAATTTTTGGTCGGCGCAACCATTCCAGACTACATACTGAACCTCCCCAATGAAGTTATGAGCAGCCCCATGGGTGCTCTTATAAGTAAGTTTTCATCTCTATACATTAAATGTCATGTAGATACATCATATTTTACCCCAGTTTTTCTAGATGAACGATTTAGCTTATCAAAAATTCCAAGGTAGGATGGATTTGGGTGGGGCCTTTTATTGCATTCATTGGTTTGTGGAATCTATTATTCTATATCAATTTTTACTAATTATACACTTTTTTTTTTGTTTTTTTTCTTGCTGTTGTCGCACAAGGATTAGCATACAGTTTATTTGTGTTCTGGAGCATTGCAGAAGGCGATTCTATTTTTTGATTTTTTTTTAATTTGAAGTATCTAGAGGACTAGGATCAATGTTAGGTGAATTATTTTGGCACGTGATACGGATATGGGTACATGATATGAGACTTTCTTAGGTACGCGATATGAAGAGGGTAGACATAGATGATATGGTATTTTGGATCGCAATTTGTTTGAAAACTCTTATGTAGATCGTTTTCACTATTATATAATATTGTATATTACAGAATATCCATAAATACTAAGTTATTTATTATTTGTCTTATACTTGTGCTTGATTTTTTATTAATTAAAAAAATATATAATTATAAATCTAAATACATGTAGGCAATTAATATATATTTTATATATGTGCTATATGTTCTAATGCGAATTGATTTAGGGTTGGTATTACAATTTGGAGTCGTTCATTTTGGTGATTTAGATCGTGAACACACCCCATTTGGGATTGATGTACTCAAATTGTGAGTCGTCAGTGGTTTGAGTGAATTGTAGTAACCATGACTACGAATATAATTTGGAGTCATGTATTTTCACTGAAACAAACTGTTAAATCACTTGATTTTCTGCCTTTGCTTGTCATATATCAATTGAATAACATATGCGAAATTCATAGTTTGTTTTGTTGGAAAGAATCCATAATTTAGAATGTGGAGATGAGTTGCTTATTTATCTCCAATTTTCTGTGCAGTGCCTATGATACAGCAACTGGAGACAACATTGAGAGCAGGTGCTGTTCCACAAACTCCACAGTTCAGGCCCCCCACATTGTCTTCTACTTCTCAGGCAACAAAAACTGGGAATAAATCTTTTGGTGATAGGCGTGGTCAGGTTATAGGAGAAGCGGACAACAAAGAGGTCAAGAGCAACGTGAAACCAAACGTTCAACCAGCCAAGTGCGTGGAGCCTGAGAAGGCAGAGAATGTTGCTGTGCCTCCTGCAGTCAAACCTGCTGGAGTGCAGGAGAAGTCATCTGTCAGCGGCAGGGTTGCAGGCGATTCTCTAGGAGATGCTCGGAGTAAGGTGCAAGATGAGATCACCACTGAATTTGCTGCGATCATGGCAACTGGGACATTACGTGCAAGTGAGGCTGCAGCACTTGCAACTCGGAGG